AAAACACAGTCAGTTATTATGATTCGGCGAAACAGCATTATTTACCTTTGAAGGTGCTGTTGATACTCGAGTTTGTGACTGTGCTGTTGCTTTTGTTGCAGATTGTTTTCGCTAAAGAAAGAAAAAAGGTTCTTTCACACAACAGTTATTATCCAGTAAAGTTAACCATACTTTTGATGTTGTTGTTTGTGTAGTTATCGCCGCTTCCGTCGACTTTCGTCGACCTTTTCTTTTTGTTTGCGTTGTTGAACCGATCTTAAACGAACAGAGAAAAGAATGATGTTATAAACCTCGCCGAAAATCTTCCTACATTTTCTTTATCCCAAACAGACGGATTCTTGCGACCGGTTCTACCAATTCCAGCTTCAACCTTTTCACGTTTCCGTAATGACGAACAATTCGGCTTTGGTATGGGCTGCTGAACTTTAATGTTCATCTTTCGTTTTACGGCGATCACATGCATACAATCACTTTTCTTTTTCTTCGCGGATAACCCACATGTACAACCAAAGAAACCATCATCCAATAAAGTAACCATATATTTGTTTCCATTAGTGTGTTTCACGATAAATGCACCTAAAAAAGAAACCGTGTATCGTACAATAGTATTGAACTCAATATAAAACAATACCTGCATCAGAAAAAGTTACTTGGCTATCGGTATCAAACATTATTGTAGACAATTCAACGTTTGTTAACGGTGGCAGTCTATTTGAAGATTGATCATCAACACCAACTTTTATGTTTAGTTCTTTTATCCGCTGTACTACTTCACCAGGATGATAAGTGTTCAACAACAACAACATTGATAAATCCATTCTTAGGCATTCATATCCTGACTTAAGTTTATATCCACCTAAAACCAAAGCCAATACATATACAACTAATTAAATTTACAAAAAATGAACTTACCTACTGAACAGTAACCACGCAAAACTTCGTTGATGTAATACCCCTGTAGAAAATTTAACGATAAAACCAACCGATCGATTGTCACTATTTTCCAATCATTTAACTCTTTATAAACATAATTAATCCCTTCAACACAATTTGACGTAATTGTTTCTTTAAACAATGATCTCAGACCTAGCTGTTCAACTTTCCACATCCCTACAAAAAAAAGGACTTAAAAAAACTCAGCCATGGTAACTCCAGCGACATTCAAATCAAATTAACCATCAAAAGTAGACAGGATAGTTAGTTCAATCGTGTTTCTTCTGACCGAACTCGACTTCGACCACGGAGATTTTAGCTGATTGAACCCGACTTCGACCAGGGAGTTTCAATTCTCTATCACTTCACACTTATTTTCTCCTGATCGAACTCGACTTCAACCACAGAGATTTTAGCTGATTGAACTCGACATCAACCAGAGAGTTTCAATTCTCTATCACTTCACACTTA